CAAGACGTATACATATCTGTATATTTGCATATATTCATGTATGTGCATGATAGACATACAGACAGACAGACAGATAGATAGATAGATAATTAGAGAGATAGATAGATGAATGAATGAATTGGTAGATGGACATCTGAAGTTAGAGTCGGGGGAGTAAAAGTCTGTGCAATCAAGGAGAAAGTGTTTCGAAAAGTCTTTCACAGCAAAAATGCATGCTTGACAATTTGGCGCTAAACAATAACAGAAAAGCCAACTGGTTATAAAATAGGTTCAACAATGAACAGATGATGATGTAGGCAAATCAGTGTCGCCCTGACGCCTCGACGACTGCTCTGGATGGGTGGCGAAATTTCAGGACAAAAAAAGGCGAAATTATGTTGTATTTATAAATAGTTGTGATTAATTCTTTTGTGTCCGGCATGAATTAAAGTGAAGACTGGCTCTTGGTGATTCCGAGAGGGAGGCTGGCGTGCGAGTTGGCGGAGCAGGGGAGGGAGGCAGGCCGGTGCCTGGCTCAACGGCGCATTTTGGTCACCATGAAGATACGGCCGCCGGTACTCGCCTTGGCGACCAGCGGTACCGGCTCGGGCGGCCAAGCGTCGTTCGACGTAATGCCGTTGAGTCGAGGCGATTCTACGTCAATGTCCGAGGTGTCGGCCTCGACCAGACAGTGCTCACTGACGGCGTCGACTGTGCACTTGGCCGGTGCGAGGCCGAAACCGAAACCGAAAGCGAAACCGTTGTCCGGTTGCCGAGGCATGGTTGGCGGTCGGTCCATGGTGTAGACGGGATGTCCGGCCCGTTTGCTGGAGGCCGACTTTGAGGCTGTCTCGCTGCGCCAGCGTTGGTGTCCGGCGGCCGGCGAGCCGGTGAGAAGAGCCAAATCGGGCGTCGATTTGGCCAATTGGGCGCGTGACGCCGAGCGAGCGTAGACGTCGTCGAGACGGGCCGGTTGACGTGACGTCAACGTGAACGCCGACGATGACGACGACGACGGCGGCGGCGGTGGTGGTGGTGATACAAAACGGTGATAGGTCAGTTGTCCGTTGGTGGCGTCCAGTCGAGTTCGTTGCCGAGTGGCCGAACGGAAGCGACGCGTTGCCATGTCGTCGTTCTGGCGGTCTCTGACCGACCCGATGGGCGAATGGGCTCGTTCGTTGGGACGCGGTCGAGC